TGGAACCTGGCGGGGGGTGGGGGGGTGGTGGTGGTCCTGTTATGTGCCACATGCCCCACCCCCGTGAAGCAGGGGAGGCCTCCTGGGGTCTCTGAGAGGCTCCACACCTACATTCAGATGGTCTTCTGGGCCTGGGCACTCCCTGCCTGTGGTGTCCACAGGCTGCCTTTGTGTCCTCATGATCATCTTCTCATACACTAGTTTCACTGTCTGTGTGTGTGTGCACGTGTATAGTGCATATACTAGAAGTAGTCTAAGAGTGTGCAGGAGAAAGAGGGGGATGCAGAGAGAGAGAGAGAGAGAAAGGAGAGTTAAGATTGTAACTATAGAGGAAATAGCTACTTTTAAGAGTTAAACATAGTTGTCTTGCAGGAGGAAGGCTGAGGATGAATGAATCTTTCAGGAATCCTTATTTTCATTGCAAATCATTGTCTTTAAGGGAAATTTGACATTTTAAAAAACCATGTCCATGTGTCACGATGAAAACCTTTAAAGATGTATAATTAAGCCAGTAGAATAATTTTAGTCACTATGTTTCTAACTAATCATGGTTGTTTTTTTCTAAGCACTTACTGATACTTTGTTTACCAATCTGTTCTGGAAGTTGGGTCAAACTGAGTATTTTGGCACTTTGGAATCTGTGGTACCTTCACTTTTTTTTCTTTTTCTTTGAGACAGAGTCTCACTATGTTGCCCTTGGTAGAGTGCCATGGTGTCACAGATCACAGCAACCTCAAACTCTTGGACTTAAGTGATTCTCTTGCCTCAGCCTCCCAAGTAGCTGGGACAACAGGCACCCACCATAACGCCTGTCTACTTTTTTGTTCAGTTGTCATTGTTGTTTAGCAGGCCTGGGTCGAGTTCGAACCTGCCAGCCTCGGTGTACGTGGCTGGCACCCCACCCACTGAGCTACGGGTGCCGAGCCAATATCTTCACTTTTGATAATGGGGAAAATGCTTATGCGCTTTCCATCTCCTGTCAAGCCTTCACCTCTCATTATTGTTTTGCTCTTACGCTGCTGATATCCTGCTGGTGTTCTAGGCTGGCCTATTGGCTTTAGGTAACACAAGGGCAGATAGGCAGTGAGAAAGGATGAATAAGATGCGGTTCAAGCAGAGGGGGCTGGGTGCGCCCATGTCCATACCGTGGCACTGATTCAGTTATGATTCGGCCACAACGAGGCCCCAACAGGCTGGCAAAGCAGAATGTCACCGAGTCCGAGCAGATGGGGCTTCGGAAATCAGAGAGTCATTTCACATCTCTGTGGTCTGGGGAACACAGGGGAGGAACTGGGCAATGACTGGGGGCTGTTCCCTTTAGAGTTCTCAGATGCAAAAATAGAAACTAACTCCAGAGAACATACAAAAAGGAGGCTAGTAAGTAGCTCATTGAATTGTCAGACATTCTGGAGATAAAGGATGAGAGAGCTGGCAGGCAAGGGATAATCAAGAGGACGCCACAGAGACGGCTTCCTGAGGACACCACTGCTGGCACTATCACCACCGAGTGCTCACCAACCCGGTGTTGACAACTCTGCTGCCTTGTTGTTTGGCTCTTTATCGGTCACAAGGAACACAAATGATCTCTGATTGTCCCCAGACCACTATACCACCCTCTTTAGAGTCATTAATTTGAGGGAGAAGTGTCCATTTGAGTATATTTGCCTTGTGTTCAGGGGATTGGGAGAGAAATGTGTGTCTCCCTCCCTCTTTCTAGTGGGTGCTAGGGTCTTTCTTTGTATCTGTCTTGGGTTTTGGCCCAGCAGGACAGGTGTGTGGACACCAGATGGCCAAGGCCTATGTCCAGACATTTTAGTGATCCAACACGTAGGACTGTGTCTACAAAGGAGAAAATGAACAGTCCCAATTCAGTGACATAGAAAAGACAGAGCCTGGGCCGTTAAAACTGGGCTGACATAATTCATCTTGGTCCACATTTGAATTTATCAAAATGTCTAGGTTCTCTCTTGCTATCTTCCTCTTGTCTACAACTTCAATTTCCTTTTAAGTGCTTGCTCTATCCTTGGCAGTTTGAAAATCATTCCCCTTACTAGAGAAGCTGATTTATTCTGTTTTTCCTTTCTGTCAAGTTGGTTTTATTAAAAAATGTAGCATGCTGCCATGCTTATGGATGGGCTCTGAAAACCATACACAAATACAATTGCTTATATTAGAAAGGTAACTGGAATATACCTTTCTAATTTGCATGGGGGGACTGGAATATATTTTGCATGGGGGGGGTCAAAATTTAATAGGAAAATGATATTCTCTTTGTCACTAGCAGCTGACAACTCTGCTAAGGTGAATCTTAGCTACACAGTCATAGAGTTGGACGTAGGGCTGCCAGAGCTAGCAAATATATAGGGTGCTCAGTTATTTCTGAATTTCAGATAAGCAACAACAAATACTTGGTGTAAGTGTGTCCCACGTGATAGGATATACTCATGCTAAAATTACTTGTTGTTTATCTAAAATTCATTATTTTATATGACATTTACATGTAACTGGGCACCCTGTATTTTATCTGGCAACCCTCGTTGGGGGAAACCGCAAAGGAATTCTCTGTGATCTTGGTACAGAAATATGCTTATACCACTTCCAACTTCCCCCTTCAAAAAGCAACAAATCACAGAGGAACAGAGTGTTCTGGGTCAGGAGTTTGAGTTCAAATTCCAAATCTGAAAAGCAAAAAAATGGAAAGGAAGATTGAGTATCTTGGCAAATTAGGAAAAACTCCCATTTGGTTGTCTATTAGTCATTTAAGAAAAACCAAGTGGTTTGGAGTCCCTTGACCGAGATAAGTTGGTAATTTTCCTCACCTAACATGACTATAGAATATTCTTTAAGAACTTTCATTCTCAGGTATATAAGGTTTTGCACATTAATAATGTCAACCACTCTATAATGAGGGCTTAATACATGCCAGGGACTCTTCTGAGTACATTGCATTTGCTAACTCATTCTTCTTGCAATAGCTCCATGTGGTGTATTATTACCTCCATCTCATATGGATGGGGAAACAGAGGCACAGAGAGGGGAGGTGCATTAAGTAACTCAGTGAAGGCCTCACAGTTAATAAGTGATCACACAGCTATACCTTGGCAATCTGGTTCCAGAGCCTGGGCTCTTAAGCAAGGCGGCACATTAGCTCTAAGAAGTAGGCAGTCTCAAATAAACAAAATCATATTATTAAATTAAAAATACAGTATACTGTGGATTCTGGTATCTGAAACTGCATATTTGGTTCTACCACTTGAATAGACTTCCTGATTTTAAGTGCTTGCTTAAATAGCTTCACATTATGGCCTGTCCCACAAGGCCTGTCAGCTGCTACTTCACACCTCTCGGGTGAGAAATTAATAAAGTCGATGAGTTGATTTGCTAGATTATTCTTTGTAGTTTCCTCTCACTTATCTCAGATGGATCCAGAGGAGCCCATAAATGACAAACAATCACACTCCAGTCGTTGAAGATCAGTCTGCCTTCCTGAGGTTCTTTTTGCTTTGGTCCAAATACCTTCAGCTTTTTCAACCATTCCTTTGAGTGCTCAGGAATAGTTCAATCATGGTTCAGTTCTGTTGATTGGGCATGGATATTATCTCCCATGGCATAAACCTGTCAGTAGAAATTTTCCAATCATAAAACTTTAGTACACGCTCAAAATAAAGAAAAAAATATCACAACCTTTTATAGGATATCAAAAAGAAGTATTTTTCCTATGAGCCTTTGGAATGGAAAGTCTGTCCTTATAATTTCCCATGGTGATCTTATATGCAGGGTCCTTTCCACAGCAACTCTTGGCAATGAAGGGTAAAAAATGATAAAAATATATATTTTTTGTATTTGAGGCTTGCTGTGTATATTTTTTTAAGTCTTTAAGTCTAGGGCTTTCTAGTGAAAGCAAACTATTAAATCCTTGCATTTACCTCCTTCCATGCCAACTGCTGGTGAAAATCCCCTATTCTTTTGCACTTTATCCTTTCCAGTCCTTCCTTGGAAAGGCAAATCTTTTACAACGGACAGATTGTTTTAACTTTCACTTCAATAGCCTCGCATTGGAACTTACAGAAACATATGGAGAGAGGAGATAAAGAGAGACAAGCAGTCTGGCTTACCTGAGCACTGACGTGAGAAGGGAGGAGCAGTGGCTGAGAAAGTTTGGTGCATGTGACTAAGTTTAGCCTCTGAGGAATGTGTGATGGTGGTTGGCGTCTAAGGGCTAATGGTTTAGAAAGTATTCATCATCAATGGTGACAAAATTTCACTGCAGTTTTGGTTACTTTCAATAAACCACATAGACCCACTGTGGATTCTGTGAATATGCTGTAACTAACACTTTGTCAGTACAGACCAGCAAGACTATGCATTCGGGGGTGTGTGCGTGTGTGTGTGCGTGTGCGTGCATACATGTAGCAAGCAGACAATGAGAGATGGAGGCAGAGGGAGAGAGAGAATAGAAACTGATAAGAAAACAGCAGGTGTGTTGATTTCCCCCCTTATATTCTGTCCACAGCTTGGCTGCTGTTCTCTTCCGATGAAGCAGGCCTCAGCAGTGCTCTTAGTAGAATCACATCTACCATGATTTTGTGCTACTTTATCAAGAACACCCCCAGACTTTCCTTTTACTTTCCACTGATGTGAATTCCGATGTATAATGATTTTCATCCATGGAAACCAATGCATCCCACTCCATTTATTTAACCTTGAAGTTGTGCTTCTGAAAATTGCCCTAGCCAAAGCAATGGACAAGGGCAGAAAGATCTATGTGAAAGATTATTCATTGTAGTCTTGGGAATATCCTCCACCCCTCATAGGACTGCCTAAACATCCATCATTAATAGATTACTTAAATGAGTTTTGTTACATTCTTTTAAGGGAATTGTTTATGGCCATTAAAAATGGCACAGTTCTGTATCTGCAGACCTGAAATATGCTTATGATTTTACACAAAAAGAAAACAGGCAAAGGAATAGTATATGTAGTTCATTATTTTTCTTTCTTTTCTTAGACCTAAAGTATCAACACTCAGGAAGTGACACACTATTGATGAAAAAAAATTGCCATCATTGTACAATTCTCAATTTTTCAACTATTTATCTGTACCTAAGTGCAGAGGAAATACTCTAGAAAGATAGCAAAATTCGGGGAATAATTATCTCTGCTTAATAGAAGTGTAGGTGTTTTAACTTCATTTTTGTTGATCCATTTTCCAAACAATTTTATACAATTAATAGTCATTAAACTGTTCATATAAAAAGAAAAAAATAATTTTTTTAGAAACAGAAATAAATAGACCACATACCTGTATCTTCGTTTCTGGAAATACTACTTCTTCAGTGAAGCCATTTTGAACTAAATGAAATGAGTATAAAAAATTCTTTCAACAATATAAAGTCTAAACATACAACTTATGTGGATCCACAGTAGTCACAAGATATACTGATCCCTTCTTTCACTTGGATGAGACACTATACAATTATTATTTTTTAAATCACGGAATTGCTGCTACTTGAAAGATTCAGTTTACTTGTGCTTAAAGTGCTTGTATTGCCCACCCATTGCTCCTAAGCTGGCACATCCAATCTAATGAGAGCCTTACTTTATCTTTTAGGACTTTGTACTAACAGGATTATCCCATGTATGACAGATAGCAAGTATTAAAAGCAGTAATCGAGGGCCTACCATTGTCTGCTTAATTATTTTGATTAATATCACTTATTTCTATAAAATAAACTATGTGGCAGAAATTTATCTTCATTTTCAGAAAAATACAGACTTGGGAAAGTCACTGGATTTCTAGGATCATCTGGTTAGGCATTGGCAAAGCCAAGACCTAGATCTCAATCTCTTGATTTTAAATCCCATTTCTTTTCTCATTTCCGTATTCTGCAAGAATAATAAAGAACTAAATAGACTTGGCAACTTCTCGTCAAAGCCTACCTGTGCGATGTATGGAGATCATTCTTACAGTCTGAGTTCTTAGTTGCAAACAACAAAACATGTTTGAGTTGAGAATAATTTGCAAAGCACACTATAGGTTGGCCTATAGGTGGATTCTCGCAGCACTTGTCAGAGGTACATGCGTGAATTTTGGATAACTCTTGGGTTACACTCTCTATGACCTGTGCTATGGCACTTCTGAAAACTCCATGACAATAGACACAGTGTGGTATAGATGAAATAACCGATGAATAGATCAGGGGAACAAAGCAAGCCCAGAAAGCGACCCATACAAGCAAAGTCAACTGATATTTGACAAAGAACCTTGGGCAATTCATTAGAGAAAGGAAAGTCTTTTCAACAAATGGTTCTGAAAGAAGTGGACATCCACATATAAAAAAAAATTTAGAAACAGAACGTACATCTCTCACAAAATTTAACTCAATATGGATCAAGACTTAAATGCAAAATGCAAAACTCTTAAACTCCTAGCAGGTAACATAGAAGAAAATCTAGATACTAGGTTTGGAGATGGTGAAGAAGTTGATATGTTGGGCTTCATGGAAATTTAGAATTTCTGCTCTATGAAAGATACTGTTAAGAAAATGAGAAGATAAGCCACAGACTGCAAGAAAATATTTTCAAATGATATAGATGATGAAGCTATGGACTGTTACCCAAAATATTCAAGGAACTCTTAGAACTCAGTGATATGAAAGCAACCAATCTAATCAAACAACCAGGGCACTGATCTGAACAGACACCTCACATCACCAAAGAAGATACACAAATGGAAAATAAGCACATGTAAAGATGCTCGATGTCATACTTCCTAAGAGGACTGCAAATGAAAATAACAATGAGATGCCATACTCCTATTAGAATGGATAATATCCAAAATACTGACAACATTGAACGCTGTCAGTATTCCACGAATTCAGCTGTCAGCGTTTGTTGAATGCTGAAGAGCCTCACACTGAGGGTGTGGAGCAACCCGAACTCATTCATAGTCGGTGGGAATGCAAAATGATACAGACTCTGGAATACAGTCTAGCAATTCCTTACAAAGCTAATCATAGTTTTAGCACATGATCTGTCAATTGCATTCCTTGGTATTTATCTGAAGGAGGTGAAAACTTAGGTCCATGCAGAAACCTATGTAGGTGTGCTTATAGCAGCTTTGTTCATAATTGCCAAAATTGTGGAAGCGACTATATTGTTCTTTAATAGATGAATGAATAAATTGTGAAAAGACGTGGAAGAACTCCAAAAGTCTATTACTAAGTAAAAGAAGCCAATCCGAAAAGGCACAACTATAGAGGCAGTAAAAAAAGCAGTAGCTACCCGAGGCTTGGTGGGAGAGAGGGATGAAAAGATGGAGCACAGGTGATTTTTAGAGCAGTGGGACTTTTGCGTATGAATACTGAAAGGATGAATACGTGTCATTATACATTTGTCAAAACCCATGGAATGTACAGAACAAAAAGTGAGCTCCAGAGTAGACTAGGAATTTTGGATTATGATAACGTGTCAATGTAATTTCATCAATTGTAACAAATGCACCACTTTGGTGAGGGATGTTAGTAGTGGGGGAGGTTGTGAGTCTATGTGGGGTGGGTGGGTATGTGGGAAATCTCTGTACCCTTTGCTCAATTTTGCTGTGAATCTAAGCTGCTCTTAAAGATAAAGTCTGGTTTTTTTTGAAACAGAGTCTTACTTTGTCATCCTTGGTAGAGTGCCATAGCGTCATAGCTCACAGCAACCTCAAGCTCTGGGGCTCAAGCGATTCTCTTGCCTCAGTCTCCCAAGTAGCTGGGAATACTGGTGCCTGCCACAATGCTGGCAGCTTTTAGAGATGGGGTCTCCCTCTTGCTCAGGCTGGTCTCGAACCTGTGAGCTCAGGCAATCCACCCAGCTCGTCCTCCCGGAGTGCTGGGAGTAAGGTGTGAGCCACCATGCCTGGCCCCGATAAAGTCTGTTATTAATAAACAATCTCCATGATTTTTGACAACAATTATAAAACTCTCCTCAAATATGGATTATGTGTGGAGTCTCTTCCTCCACGTATATCTCTTCCAAATCAAAGCTTGTAGAGGTGGCTTGTCTGGTTCACTCTAAGTCATGTGGTACTGATGGGTTTGATAATGGAGTTCTAGATTCTACCTTGGGGTAAAATAACTATTGGATGGGAGCTTCTATAGACACAGGGAGCCAGACTGCTACTATTATTGCAAATGTTCATCATAGACACCAATATGGACCTGGGTGGCGGGGACCTTACCTTAAAATTTTCCAACACATAACTTTGTTACAGGCACAAAATCACAATCACTCTCTTTTCTTCATTGGGCGAAAAAAACAATGTCTTTTCTATTTCACTATTAGCTTCCTTTAATGTCTATATGTTCACTTTTTTCCGCGTAGAGGGGAGAGTCCCAGAGAAAGGCCTAAAGTGCATCTGTAACTTTTTCAAACTGCTTTCGATACATCTACTTCTAGGAACTATTTACTACAAGGGCTAGCCTGCCCCCCAGCCCCCAAACATTTTACGCATAAACTAAGCAAAGTGTCCACACTTGTATAAACTCTTTGTGTATCAGCCACACCCATGTAATTGCCCTTTGCCAATTTACTTTGGCTACCTGAGAAAAATTCAGGTGCTAAAGAAATGATCAAAAGATAATATATCTTTAAAATGTTAAAATTATCAACCAACTATACCAGTGTAAAGATGATTTTATCTTTAGCTTGGACAATACCCTCAATCATGAATGGACTTGGCTATTCCAATTGGGAATAAATACACGAGAAGTTAAGAAATTCCCACAGCAGGAAAAATACAAGAGATAAAAGGAAAGAGAAAGAAACAAGAGCAGAAGGAAGGACGGGGCTCTGGAGAAAGGAGGTTGGTGCCGTAGGGTGGTTAGCATTACTACCGACTGCATGAGTTGAGACCCAGAGAAAAATAATCATGATCATAAAGAGAAGAGAAAAATCCCACAACTCAGTAGCAAAATCAACACTAACAGAAACCTAAAAAAAACCCTCGAACCCCAAACCCTATTAAAAATAGACAAAGGCCTTGAATAGATACTTCTCCAAGGACGACATATAAGTGGTCAACAGTATGTAAAAAGGGGCTCATATCGTTAACATTGGGGAAATGTAACCATGATATGTCACATCCTGGGGATTAGGATGGCTATATTTTTTTTTTTTTTTTTTGAGACAGAGTCTCATTATGTTGCCCTGGATAGAGTGCTGTAGTGTCACAGCTCACAGTAACCTCCAACTCTTGGGCTTAGGTGATTCTCTTGCCTCAGCCTCCCAAGTAGCTGGGACTATAGGTGCCTGCCACAATGCCTGGCTATTTTTTGGTTTTAGTTGTGATTGTTGTTTGGCAGGCCCAGGCTGGATTCGAACCCGCTGGCTCTGGTGTATGTGGCTGGCTCCCTAGCTGCTGAGCTACAGGTGCTGAGCCAGGATGGCTATTATAAAAAACAAAAGATAAGTGTTGGTGAGGATGTAGAGAAATTGGAATCCTTGCATACTGTTGGTGGAAATGTGAAATCATGCATTTGCTATGGAAAACAGTAAAGAGGCTCCTCTCAAAGTTAGACATGAAAAATTAAAATTAGACCTGTCACATGACTCAGCAATCCCACATTAGCTAGCGTGCATGTCCAAAAGAACTGAAATCAGAATCTTGAAGAGACATTGGCATTCCCATATTCTTTGCAGCATGATTTACATAGGTACGACATGGGAACAACAGAAATGTCCATTGACAGGTGAGTGGCTAGAGAAAATGTAGCACACACATTCAAGGAATATTATCTAGACTTGAAGAAGAAGGAAACCCTGCCGTAAGCAACAACATAGGTGAACTTGGAGGACATTGTGCTACGTAAAATAAGCCAGTCATGTAAGGAAAAATACCGGATGATTTTGCTTATAGAAAGTATTTAAAATAGTTGAACTGGGAAAGTAGAATGCCAGGGTGGTGGCAGAGGGAGACATGGGGAGTTGCTGTTTAACAGATACAGAGTTTCAGTTATGGAAGATGACTAAGTTCTAGAGACCTGCTGTCAAACACTGTGCTGATAGTAACAATTCTGTGTTTTGCACTTAA